AATAATCCATCTACCCACCTTGATGGTGACCTTGGTGTGTATGTGTGTGTGTGTGTGTGTGCGTGTGTGTGTGTGCGTGTATGACGTATGTACGTATGTATGTATGTATGTACGTACGTACGTATGTATCAGCGTACAAACGTGCAATAATCCATCTACCCACCTTGATGGCGACCTTGGTGTCCTTGTGCGACAGCTTGAGGGCGTTGTTGAAGACCTTGAGGTCCTCCTCCAGCGACATGGTTGTCCCCGGCAACTTCTGGTTGTCAGGCTCAATGTGCTCACTCAGCTTGGCAGGGTGGTCGATGAAGATCAACTTACGATTGTTCTACAGTGAGGGGAAGGGGGGAGTCGAGAAAGTTCTATTTTTAGCAACAGGTTTTTACGGCACTTACAACACAATTTGTGAGTGTGGGGCGTCGAGGTGAAAACAGGCGCTCGTAAAAATAATGAAATCAAAGAAACTGGCCATTTTTTTGGCCGTTTTCTTTTTTTTTTCTAATTTTCTTTTATTGACTTAACACCTTTTACGTTAATTTAAAGACACATTTCAGCATGGATTTTACTGAAAAACATTGATTAAAGACACAAAATATGTAAAGTTTTAGTTTCCAAGGCCTCTCAAGCTATAGAAGTTAGCAAACTTTGGTGGCCATTTTCTCGCTAATTTTACCTCAGAAATCAGATGACCCTCACCTCCTTAAATTGCAAATATCTCGACTAATATTCAGCATAGATGGACATTTTCTTTTTTCATCAAAAGCAAGGCAAATGAACAGGCATTAAAATTATACAAATGAACTCATAATATGCTCAAAAATAGACGAGTGCCTGATTCCACCACTTGGTGCCACATATAAGTTATTCATATCAATTGCTTCGTGTTAAGAATCTGCTTGTTTTAGTAGAGGTTTTACTGCGCTCGCAACTGCATAAGATCATATGAGCGCCAAGGGGTGGATGTCAACAGAAAAGTCCTCACAGGGAATCAGGCTTACATTGCTCATCTCTCTAGCTTCAACAGCACAAAGTCTGCTTCGACTATCAAGGCAACCCATTAATAGCAGGTCACAAGAGTGTAACATACAAAAGAAGTAGAGGAAAAAAGACGATAGTAAGGATTAGGAAAGAAAAAGCAGCAGTTCCCTGTTGCAGTTCAGGCAAAGTCATGAGCATGACATTGATGAATCAGCCCATTTACTATTCTACTGTGCATAAGACCATATTAATGACCCCCCTTTGGGAATGGCCTAAAGACACTTCAGTCAGTGGCACCGCCCCAGGGTGGAAGTTAAGACTCTACCACAAGTCATTTTGAAAAGTGACATATGACGACGTCTTACATTGAGCAGTCGATAGACGTGCCAAAATAAGGTGTTATTATTATAGAGTAAGGCCAGGTCTGACCTGTAGCTCGCCTGGCTCGCACCGTGCAAATGAATGTATACATTATCGTGTGCTTAAGCAGCGTCGCTGCGTCGTCTGTTTTTTGTCAGCTGAGCTGCGCGATGCATCAGACGTGCTATTCAACAGTGTTGTAAAAATGGCGGATATGTGTCGCCGAGCTTCGTGTTTATTTTCGACTAAAACTCTTCACAGATTATCAAAATCAACAAGAAGTAAGT